AAACTTATTGATAATACAATATTTAAGATATGCATTACTAATTTATTCTTTGGATAAGAAAAAAACAATATGATACCTGTATAACAGAAGATTCATTCATCTTAGAGATTATCATAGATAGGATTGGATTATGAAATATTGTTTATTTAAATATCAGATTTGATAAAGATGAATTGTGTTTTGTATAGAATGAGTTGATCTTTATCCTCAATTTAATTAATAATAATCATATGGCACGAACATGAGCAAATCTATGCTGAAGAATTCTCACAAAAAGACTCCATGCAGTTCTACTACTTCTGTAAGTCTAAAACACTTCAGTTGCAGTCGATGTAATCGTAGTACGTTTTCGAAAGAATAATCCAGATCTATGCATATGATTTTAAGAACTTCTTTTTGATAAATTATTATTTGATAGATTAGAATATAATACCACTAGATATTATCTTCAGATGACAAAAAAAAAACGGTAGGACAACAACGATAAAATTTTATAATTCTCTTTGGTCATTTAAATAACTAATCGAATATTTATTTAATAGCGACCTCATGACAAGAAATCTTTAACGAATGTTAAATAAATTATTTAAAATGTTGAATTCTGACGAAGAAAAATCGTTTGATGAAAATGATTTTTCATCATTAGTTGCATCAAGTCTTCGAAATGTTATTGAAAATAGTGTAGTAGATCTTGTATTACCTTATCGAATATTATCTCTTTCACATCTATCATCATGGAAAACATTTCAAAATGATTTAATTAAAATTTTAAAACGAAATTCTAATAGTAATCAAGAAAATAATCAGGTTTTGATTTTATTTCTATCTTTGTTTTTTTTTATTTGATTTTTTTTTGTTTTGTAAATCATAGGATCTTCTTCTTTTACATCATTTTCATTACTGTACAAACCATTTTAATGAAAAACAACAAGAAGATTTTTCTTTTGAAACTTTAATGAATTCTCACATTGGTTTTATTCGAACTCAATCAGATTTTGATCGTTTACGTCAATTCATGTAATCTTCTAGAACAATAAAACTTTTAAAACTTTTAGGAAAACTTTAAATTCTCTCATTTAACTAAATAATAAATCATTTAAAAAGAAAAATTCTTTTATTTTTATTTACAGAGTTTTTCATGTTTTAATTCTTGACTCAATTTTGTACATGAATATGCAATCATAAATGTAGACTGTATTACAAGTATTTAGAATAATAAACTCTAAAAAAAAAAAGGATTTTATTATCGTCCTAAACCTTGCATCAAATTTTCATGAATCTTCGTATGATTTATGAACATAGCACACATGTACTAAAATGCTTTAATGTAGAGTTTATAAAGATAAGATAGTCTTTTTTTAGGATTAATTATTTTGAATTTTTCTCAATTGTAAATATACCGACACGGACAATTAAACTGTGCATTTGTTTTGTATAAGAAATGTTCAATCGGCAAAATAATGAATTCGCGAAGTTCTGAAATCATTGGACGTTGTAGAGTGAACAGTTTTCTACAAAATAAGATGTGAACAAGATTTGTATGGCTATATTTATTGTATGAAAATTTCGAAGTCAAGATCAACTCTCGATCTCAATTTATAACTTTTCATACAATTAAAATACAAATTGAAATATACGCCACACAGATCTCGTTCGCATTCAATTTTGTGGACAACTATTTGTTTTTAAAAACATGTATGTTGAACAAAGTTGTACTGTTTTACTCATAATTTAAACATCTTCAGCAGATAATTTAGAAAAATGAAAAATTCTTATTAGGTGTTTACACACATAATTCTTTGGAATATATTCCATCCAATAAATATAAATGCTATGATGCCATAATCGTCGTCTTTATTTTGAGCAATTATACGTTTTTTGTTCGTCAGTAGAAATAGATCGAGTGTATTCTCAATCGAGAACATCAGTAAAAGCCATATTTTAAACATTTTCTCGAATCAGTGTAGTGTGAAGCAATTTTCAATAAAAATAATACACAAGTACATGTGTATTTCAAACAAGATATGTATAGAAATCCATCTTCTGTTATTACAAGTACTGGCATGTGATTATTCAATAGATTTAAAGAAGACATATGTATTGTGTTGAAATTTATAAAATGTTAAGTGTATTATGTCAAAACATGATGAAAAGAATTTCGTCTATTTTTTTTTTAGAGAAAATACTAAAAATTCACATTCAAACCACATAATACTGAGAGAGGTATAAGTCGATCAGCTGACTCGACGTCGCTAATTCTGTGGAAAATTTCCAACCATCGCCGGTGATGATGGCAAAATTTTCAGGATATACAAGCCATGGCCGCTAATATTCAAGATATTCAGCCATGTCGCCGCCGTCGTAACATAAAAATAGATACTTGATTTTAAAAAATTTTTGACGTCCCAAACCAGTTTTTGGAGATGTTACCGTCTGGTTTCTTGTCAATAAGTTCTCTACTATCGTTTTCTCTCTTTTTTATTTCAAAGTTTCTCGAAATTAAAGAAATTTTTAAAAAATTCATCGAAAAATTTCAGTTACCGTCAGAGTTTTACATATTTCTAGCTGTCTCTATCAATACATCGATTTATATCTTTAAATACTAAAACGATTATGTTTTTGCACGTAAAAATCAATGAAATAAAGTAGAAATTCTTGAAAAATCTTTTTTTTAAAGGAAAGAACAAATTTAATATTTGAATGAATGTAATCAAACCTAATAGGAATTGAACCGGACTCGAATCAGTAAACCTCGATTCGATTCTGTCTCTATTCTGCTCCCGTTCTGGACTAGACATACGAGAGAAAATTTCGAAAAATTATTTTTCTCTCTCAAACAAATTTGAGTAAAATTTAAAATGCTAATGAATCTTAGTAACTCATTTTTCTGTATCAGAAAATATCTGTAAAAGAAAACAAAATTATTAGTTAATGATATAAGAAAAAATTAACTACGTAGTTAATTTTCAATATTAACGATAGTTGTTTCTATTAGATAAAAAGACAATGTGTTAAGGAAATTTAACTTTAGCGCAATTTTGATTTTGAAATATTTGTTTTTTTCTGAATAGATAAATTCGTTTTTTTTATTATTATTATTAATGAAACGAAATCGATCTTTAAACAATGATCAAACCGAATTTTCTCTTAAACGAGTTCATCTACAAAATGAAATTAATCTTAAAGATACAAAACAAGAACAATCTTATTTGCAAATAAATCCTATTCATTTAAATTTATCTGATAAAAGACATATTATAGAAAAAGTTCAACTATGGTTAAGTAATATTAGACCAATAGATAGATAATTAATTAATTAATTAATTAATTTGAACATATTTTTGGAAATAAAAACTATTTTCATTTTATAAAATGAATTCAATTTAACTCGTTTTATTGTATTCAAAAAAATGAACCACAATTGAATAAGTTTCATCATTCTACTGGATAGATTTACTTTTTGATAATTATATTTTATTAGAATTGATTACCTTAAGTCGAAAATAGATAAAATATTTTTCCGTCATTACTTTTGAGACAAGAATAATAAGCATAAATATTCTGGACTGTTGTTATTGATTGTCATTGCTTTTATTTTATCTATGAAATACGAACACAATTTATCAATGATGATCAACATTAAAAAATTCATAGCTAGTCTATAATGTCTTAAAAAATATTTGAATCATGCTGGTTTGTACAATACTTCAGAACAAAATAAGATTCAGAATTACAGTTTTCACAAAAGAGAAAAAGTGAGACTTCAAGAGTGTGTATTTCAGTCGTACTTCATCTGTACTTTGTGACAGAGGTGTCTTCGACGTCATCAAGATTGGAAAAGCCAACTACTAAGAAAGTAGGGTCGACGACATTGGGAGAGTCGATTCTTCCTGCAGAGATTGATGAACAAAAATAGCGAAGAAAATCATTCAATTTCGTTGGGAAAAAACGAAAATTTCTCAATATTGAGCATCTTAAAAACTTCAAAAAGATTAAATAGTCATAAACAAATAAAAACATTCGCTAATCTTTGCAATTGCTTACTTATACTGCTATCTTTTACCTGTAATGGCAATTCTAAGTCCTCTAATCGTCGACTTCTATTACATACAACCAACTACAAATCAAGTTTATATTACTGTAGTATACGATTGTTTACATGAAAATATAATTATTCTACGGCACAGACGCCACTGTAAACGATGCCCATACTTAGTCGTGGACAACACGACGACATATGGTCGTAATTTCACTGTTGATGTGCTTTAAAGCTATTGTTAACATCAATGAATGATCGTTTATGGCTATATTAATGGTAAATCTGAGTAGTTATGATACAACGAACTTCTTGCTAACTTTAATTGAGATGTATAGAACCAAGCCTATAATGATACAGAACAACAGAAGTTCATGCCAAGCAGCATGAAGATGAAGGATGCTAAATACATGATTTTTTATTTCTTTCATTTTTTCAACTAGGTTTTTCACAGAACTAGAATTTATGAAGTTGTTGACTATAAAACTAAATTTGTTCTCGAAGTTCTTTTTCTTGTTGTTATGATTCACAATGGCGTTAATAAAATCTTAATTCTTATTATCATTTTAAAGCCGAAAATACTAATTGAATTTCTATATGATGCAGCGAAAGTTAAATAGCATCATTATACATATTGTATGTCATAATGTATTATAAATTCTTCATTGTGCCAGAATATTTATTTGTGTTAGTTCACATAATCGAACTTCTATCTAATGTTCAATTATACATGAAATAACAAACACTAGTAAATAATGAAGCTCATTATTCTTTTCCCTTTATTTATTTCTATCTTTCATTGAACAAAAAAAGTTGATAGTTAACATCCTCCACAAAAAAAAACAACTGATTAAAATAAAAAAATAGTATTATCCACCAAATAATATTAACAGCAAAAAAATTGCAATTCATATTGATGAGATCCTAGTTTACAGAATAAATATCTTTGAAAGCTTCAAGATATTCATGTAAAGGATTCAGTTGATAAAAGAGGTAAATCACGATCTGCTCTTCGTAAATAGAAATATCCAAATATTAAAATGATAATAATACCAAGACCAAAAACAAAAATACTCAAAATTATTGTCAGCGTCTTATTATTTCCATTATCTTAAATAAATAAATTAGTTTCATTCATCAACAATATATGATCTTACTTGGCGGAGTAGGTGGAACTTTTGTTGCACATTCAACTTCAGGACTTGCTGGAAAACGATCTTTATATATAGCCGTAAATGTATCTAACGGACATTCTAATGCTGGACAACCATTTAATAGATATGGATAAGGTTTATTTGAATCTGTTACATTTAAATATTCTACTTTAATATAATATGTTGAATCTACAATAAACTATAAAATTATTTTAATAATTTAAAAAAATTAAAATTTTACTTTGTTTATAAAGATCAAGAAATAATGCTGATGCATACTAAATTAAAAACAAAAAGAAACATATAAATAAAATTAAATAAAATTATCTATACTTGTGGTTGATGTGGATAATTAATACCAAGAAAAGCAAGAGCTCCACTAACTGTTGTATCGTGCTAGAAATAATAGTTGGTTTTTAAAATTGTGAAAAATCATTTTTAACTTACAGCTGAATACATTTTAACTTTTCGATATGTATCTCCATGACTTGAACTATTCATATTCATCCAAATATCCTGTACCAATGGACCTATGTGAATAAATCTTTTCAATCATTGAATATATTATAATTTAATTAGCAAACCTCCTCGTATTCGTTTACTATCATTACTTAAATAAAGAAAATGATATGACATATCACTAAGAGCAGTTAAATTTTGTCGAACATTTTCATCAGCCCATGTTGGTGTCTTATTGTAAATATGCTAAGAGAAAACAAAACAAAGTCTAATTTAAAAAAAAAAACTTAGATATCTTTAGTTTTACTTCAACAAAAATTGTATCAGCAATATCCCAACCATTATACATACTAATATTAGGTATATTTGTCCATATTTCAAGTTTTTTAAAAAAAGGCTATAAAGAAAAAAGATTTTTAATTAACGAAGCAATGTATCTGACTGATATTTTCCTTTTGAGTTCATATTTTGCTCATAGACAAGATTCATCCTGTGAATAAAAGTCCTAAAATGGTTCGTATCAATAGGTCTTTCTTGACGAATTATGCTCATTTTACTGAATTTTCAGCCGATTGTAGAATGTTAGGAAAAAAAACTCTTATGGGTATTTATGCTATTCCAAAAGGTTTCAAAATCGCAGAGGTTTCTTTTTCGATCGAGATTGAAGAAAACAACCATTAACATTATAAAATGGTGAAAAGCAGTATTATGAACGTCGCTATTTCCGTTAGTCATGTAGAGTAGTGAAAATAATGAGAAAAAACGATGACCATTTGCTAATAAAAAATATGGCTCGTATAACAATATAATGAATTACAGTAGAATACGCTGAAAACTTATATATTAGAGAAGTTGTTTTTTTAGTTATTTACAACGCTATTACGAACTTTTGAAATGATTATGATCTGAGGAGATAAAAAAAACATTATTTTCTCGCGAACGTTCTAGACATCCAATCTAAGAAGAATAAATCATCCGTTTGAGCTGAAACTTTTCGAATATTATAAAGACTAGAAGATCTATCCTGGTAGAAAATTTCAAACGGGAATTCTTTGTTACTCAATTTTTTGTAATACCATGCAATTGACTGAAAATTCAATAAAACGAACACAATTCAAGAAGAAAGATCTACTGGCAGGAATCTTTTCAAGGTTTTTATGTACGTGACGAATGTTGTCTATAAGCAAAATATGAGATCAAATAGAAGATATCAATCAGATGGGTTTCTTCATAAGTATAAAATAAAAATTGACTATATACCTCATAATATATATTCATATTTTTAAATTCATCACTTTGATAAGTATCGTTTTCAACTTGATTATATCTGGGACAATCACTAACACCGAGTAACTAAATGAAGAAAAAAAATCAACCTCTCCTCTTTTTTTTGTTATCTTAGAAAATAACATACAAAATCTTCCTTTTCTAATACAGTATGAATTGGAATAGGTTGAATTGGAATTTTATCATCTGTAATATTGTACAATGGATAAAGACCAGCAAGATTTGATTGAGCTGACATTAATGTTCGATCATAATCAGTTGAACGAACATAAATCTCACTAGCAACATAATTTGTATTAAGGATTGATTCATAACGATTACGAAGATATTTCCCCAGACGATAATGTTGTTGAATACCAGCAATTGTTAATTGACCAAAACTAGAATCAACAAAAAAAAAACAAAAATTCATGAAAATCTAAAAATTTCATAATCTACCCATTAGGCCAATCTTTTTCTTGTGTTGGATCTGTTGGAAATGTTCTGATAGGTGTTCGATCCCCGTGCCTAAATAACTAAAATACAGAGGGAAAAAATCGAACTTTGATTATCGTTTGTTTGTTTCTTTGAAACAATCGAACTTACTACATGACCAGCGATAAGTTCCATTTGTTCTCCATAGATTTGATTTAATAAAATAGAGAAAATAATAACCAAAATTTCTCTCATTATTAATCAAGAGAAAAAGAAAATCTAAAATAAAAATACAAATTGATTTCAGTTTTTATTCAAATTGAAATTTAATCCATACTATCATGTTATTATTTATTCAAAATTATAAATATTGAATTAATTAGAAATACTAATATTTCGTTATGTAAATTAATCTTCACTGTTTGTATCTCAACTGATCATATATTTTTTTCATACGCCTACACTCAAATACAGACCAATGATAAGCAGGAAAACAAATGAAATCATCAAAATAATTACTGACACATTAGCCTATGACATCTATTTGAATAAAAGACTAATAATCTATCGAAATCATCATAAATCATATTACATAAATATTTCAACCATGAACATTTGATTATTTTCTTTATATATTTAACAATATTCAATCATCAAATTCAAAATATCTTTTAATAAATCATTCTGTACAATAAGATACATTTACAACATAAGTATTATTATTATTGCATCTGAAAACAAGATAAACATATATACAAACCAGATTTTTTTTTCACTCACAGGTAAATACAAGAATATACAAAAACAATAGATAAATCAAAAACAAAAAAACAACGAAAGCAAAGCAGGTGTTAAAAGAACAACCTATTATAAAAAAAAAAGATAGGATAATATGACGTTTTAATTGACTAGAATCTTATAGAAATTATTGAGTATTACGTATATCATTAAATAAAGCTAATGGAAAATATTTAATATGTGTATGCCATTGAGATGATATTTGAAAAAATTTGACATTATCCCATTCTTGTCCATCGACATTAACTAAAATAAGAAAATTAATTTCATCATTTAAGATTTATAACTTAAGAAAATTTACGAGGAAAGAAAGGCATCTAAATGACGAACATTGATTGAACTGAATTTTCTTTTTTATATGTTGGCTTTAATGAGACTAGCGAAAAACTGAAAGAGCAAAGGCTATTGAATAAATTTTCAACATTTTTCAATCTGAAGTCTTATCCATAAGTACGTCTAATGATCTTTAAAAAATCTTGACAGATTCGACCAAAATGAATGTTTCCTTCTCGAACTATAGAATTTTCAAAACGGTCCTCATAAAAAGATTAGAAATATCGAGTTTTCATACAAATGGAATAGCTCGAGAAGGAAGTATTCATTTCCCACGAATATCTGGCTTACATGTTGAAAACTCATTCAAGCAGTCATAACTTCGGAAAGGAAGCTCAAAGTTCTTTGCCCTTTCAGACTTTCTCTAATCTCATTGAACACTACTCATTAGAAAAAAAAATTGCTTTCATCAGTTGACAATCTTTCTACATTAATCTTCTCTGTATAAAGCGAGTAGGGTATTTTCTCGTAGTAATTTGAATAAAACAACCTTAAGACTGAAGAATAATAGACATATGGAATCAAATTACCAATTCGAGAATGCATATAGTAATATAAAATACTTATTAAAAGAAGACTTTTATTAATTCGAAGTATTTTATAAGCAATTCTTGCGGTTCGTAAATCACAATCAATGTATAACATAAAATTCAGTCTATTGACTTTCGGTAATTAGTGAATTTCTTGTTACACTTAAACGAATGGATTTAAATTTCATACGAATTTCTAGTCCAGCGCCTCGCTTTTTCTATATAACCTTCAAAGTATATTTTATGAGACTTCGGTTCATAGAGAATATTACATATTAACATACCTTTCAATTCAACATTATGTGATTTAGATGTACAAACAAGTCGATTAATACCAGTTATTGTTTGAGGTTCAATCATTTTTGTATTTTGTATATCTTTGAGTTTTTTTCCAAATTTCATAACTAAAATATAATCATTTGAAAATTTTCAATTATTTTTTGTATTATATAATAATTTACTTTTTTGTTTTTTTTCATGTGTAACATAAGTCATTGTAAATGAAGATGATATTTTTCCATCTGAATTCATTATTAATTGTCTTGTTATTGTTAATACACGTATATTAGATTTTAATGATGATTTTATTGTTCTTATTCCATCTTTTTTTTCTTTTTGATTATCAATTATAGTCCAATAATCAACTGATACATCAACTGGTAATGTTGATGGTTCATCTGTATGAGAATTTTTTATTAATTGATTTGCTATTTTAGATTGTGGAGAACTTGATAATATTGTTTGACTATTTTCATCATCAGATGAATCTTTTAATTCACGTGATTGTTGTTGATTTGTTGATATTGATAAAGATAATGATGCAGAAAGAAGAGCATTATCATCAATTGATGATAATTGACTTTCATTTGATGATAATGTTCCAAGACAAACATACTAAATTAGTATTTTTTTTTTAAGTTAAAAAAAAATGTAAAATAAATAATACATACACAAAAGAATGGTAAAAATGTTGGTGATGAATCTTCATCTGGTCTAGAAAAAATTTCAATTTAATAAAAAGAAAAGATAAGATACTTTTTTATCAATTCCGAAAACATTACTTGAGTTTCCACTAACGAGGGAAAATTCAATGACAAACTGATGTCTCCGCACGTATATACTTGACTTAGTTCAAATTTTGGAGTATTTCTTATGAAAATTTATATCTATCTACTGGCAAAGATTCTCCGACAAGCAAAGATCAGAAAACAAAGTCCAAACAGACCTTTTTTTACTACTCATCAAGACCGATTGAATAGCAATAGTCTCAAGTGAGAGGCGATTGAAGAATAGTGGAAAAACTTTCCTTCGTAAAGAAGATATAGAAGGTGATGTCAATAGGTAAATGACATCCTCCTAGAGTATGATTCTTAAGATTATTACAAGCAATTTGATAGTTTATGCTCAATAAAATAGTATAGCACTTAATTTTATACTTCTATTATGTCAATTAATTCTTATATCTCCATTAGTAGAAACTTAAACAAGATTTTACAAATTCATAAATGGTATTTTTATGAAAACCAAAAATAAAACATACAATTTTCCTTTTCGATTTAACATAACTTCACCAACAGGTAATGAAAGCGTATGTCGAGAAGTTTTTAAATATCGTGTAATCTTTTGTGATAAATCTCGTATATCTAAATTAAACGAAACAAAGAAAATTATTTTTCGATATTAATTATTTCTAACTACCTGATATTTCATTTGTAGATTCATTACTACCAAAAAGTATTTCATATTGAGAATCCAAACCACCAAGAAATTTCGCCAAATACGAGAAAACTAAAAAAAAAAAAAAAGATATGAAATAATGGCTATGCGAGATCTGGGATACTGTCAATATAAATACATAAAAGCATTTATGTCGTTGATCTACAGAAAAGGTGAATACGAATATTGGTCTGAAAATAGCTAGAGCTCTGCGGCTAGTTTTTTACCAATATTTTCTGCATAGTTTATCAATCATTGAATGGCAAATCTGATACAAAAAAAAGATCAACACTATTCAATGGAATAAACACGATTAAGTCAGAAAAAAACCTTTGCGGTAATCATTTCGAATTATTTTTACCTAACTATTGGAAACTTTGCTCAATACTCAAAACTACGAGGTAATAGAATATTGTCTTGAACATATTGCTAAAAAAAGATCCTTTGACGTAGATTCTGAAAACATATTCTTGAATTTTCCAAATCATGTTGTAACCAATGGAAAATAAAGCAACATTATTTCAAAATTTGAGATTAACGATGGAACTCTTCCAACTGATAATTTCCATTAAAGCTCATATTTTGCTGGTTATTAGAGCTCATTGTTTACATGAAACTTCTATTGGAATAGTTCCCTCATAAATGCAGTGTAGTATAGCAACACAACGTATTACAAACTTATAGGTTATTTCATGCTTTGTACAAACACATATTTTACTAAGCTTTATAGCAGAAGTATTTGAATCCGGAGCAAACAAACAAAAAAAAATAACCAGTTGGTGCCACTTGTGTCAAATACTAAGAGTCATATACTAATGTTATAATCTATCATCAATTATTCCATTACAATGAGTTTTCATCAAGTGCAGCCTATCACAATTGATCGATCGGTATAATTAAATCTTTTCGGAATAAATGACAAATAAATAATTAAAACTGATTTCAAAAAAAGAAAGTTCTCCTATGAGAATTTTCCTTTTGAAAAAAAGAAAACATCTTTTCAATTGACATAGTGAAATATTTATTCCCTAGAGAAATTTCTTTTTTTCTTTTTATAATTGTCAAGTGTTCTGAGATTACTAATGTCAACATTTTATATATTAATGAAATATTCTTTTTCATAGAAATAGTTTTTCAATATTCATTTGAATTTACCTAATGGAACAAAATAAAATTGAAAATAAGACATATATTCACGTGGTCTTGAAGCCAAACATTCAACATAAGATTGAAGAAATGAATTAACAAATGCATCATTACCAAGAAGAACAATACGAATAACAGATTGACTGGTACTATTAAATTACAAAAGAAAAATCTTTTACTTTTTGAAAAATTCTAAATTTACAAACCATTTTTGTATACGTTGAATTAAATTATTTAATACTACTTTTGATTCAGTTAATGTATTAAGAGATATAACTGATAAATTATATTCTTTAAATTTTGATGAAGTTATCTATTGAAATAATAAAATAAGAAATTAGCTTATAAGAAAGAATAAGGGTCATTTTCTGGTTGATTTGACTCAATCAGAAAAACAAATATCCGATTCGCTTGAGGTTTTTAGTAATTATAGAACGCACTGAGTTTTTTGAGATTTCATTTGACGACGCATCATATGCCATTCGATAGAGAATTTAAGTACATTTGTGAGTATAATTTCATTCTTGTAGAAGTCACTTTGATCTCACTTTACAAAGATTGGTGTGTGTGTGGGTGTTTTCTGTAAACAAAATAAATGTCATATTCAGAATCAACACACATAACTCTGAATTGAATAGCACGTATTTCAATAAAAAAATGTTTTTTTTTTTG